ATAGGTATAAGAGATGGGAACACATTCTATTAAAAGAGATGTGATGTCTGCATGGCTGTTACGAAGGTTGGGATTCTAAGACCTGCTAAGACTGACTGTCATAATATAGGGATGGCGACTTGTCAGTAAAATAGACCTCGTAAGCTCGCGGTATTTTCAAACGCAGAGGTGACAAAGTGACATATCTCGCATAGACAGAACAAACGGGAAAGAGAGCAAACAGGCAACGGCCTCATTGTTAAGGAAACAGAGATCACACTGCCTATTGTATAAATGCGGCAGACATGTTACTTGCGGTCGATAGGACCCTTCTAGCATTGAAAAAACCTATCCGCTGTCCTATGCACATACGCCTGCTTCCAGCTAACCCATCCATTATATTGAAAAATAGACCAAGAGTTGGGCCCGCGTCCGGTGTCAGGCTCCGAACATAACACAATTATGTTTATGATACTGACTGTAATGGTGACTGTGAAGAAAGAAAAAGGAAGGCCATGGTTTGGTGATGATGGGGTGGTGATATATCGATAACATGAACGTGTCATTCTTACTTAAGGAGGTCCTTATCGAACTGCGGGGGGAGAACTAACTTTCCAGTAGTAGGTGCGGTGGATTTAAACTGTAAAAAAGAGAACAGGTTTAAGAAAATGGGTGATTTCCGGCTAAACGAACAAAACACGCGATGAGCAAATAGAAAAGGCAATTGCGGACAAGAGACCGATAATGGACAATACAACATTTCCGTCTCAATCACCGCTGCCTCTACTGATACTCATCTACTTGGCACGAACTTAAATTTGCAACTTTTCTTGTTGGCAAGGCGAGACTTTAAGATTCAAATGGGAATGCCAATAAACTGCTTAAAATAAATGAATCTTATTTACACTGCCAAAAGTAGACGCATTTGTTTGCGGTATTGCCCATGTCTGTGGTTAAATTCCGACAGGACACTGGCCTTCACGGGATCATACTCTCAATTGATAGAAAACATACTAAATGAAGAAAATTCTACAACTTGAGACTAACGCTTTCTTATGACACAAGAAAATGCCCGTTAAATAACTTAATTACCCAATTGTCAGTTCAACCAAACCAGAAAGTGAAACGCCCTTGCAGGCATCGGACTTTGCAAGTGTTCACAAGACAGAAGAACGTTAAGAGGACATTCAGAATGCAAGTGTATAACAACTGCCTACTGGGAATTCGGTTAAAATACTATGTTTTATGTACTTCTTGGATAACATCGAAAACCCAAAGCAAACAGCCGGCCGTCAGACGAAGTTCGACTGGCTGGCATACCAGCCACGCAAGTCAAAAACTTTGAGGCCAGACACGAGCTACAGCTCTATGATCATCACGCCATGCGTGCAATTTGGTGCCAGGCTTGTGTGAAATGGCTTCGTTCACGATTTTATCTTTAGGCCGGTATACCACACGCTCATGCCATTTGAGACAGCAGAAGTATAGTGCAATCGACCGTTTCAGACCCGGAAACGGACGCATACTACAGGGTGCCCCACGAAAAACCCCTAAATGTATGATAATGTTTATACTGTTATAAAAATAAAAATTATTGATTACAA